ATGACCGAAATGAAGGGAGGATTTTTTGGGAAGGAGGGGGGGGGGTGTAGAAAAAAGGGGGGGAATCAGACATATCTGACAGGCGTGCAAAGCTCGCCCGCCTCCCATCCCCCTCCTGCTGCAGTCAGGGCTGGATGGAGAGCCGAAGGCTGCAAAGGCGGAGCGGGGATGGGGCGGAGAGGGAAGGAGGGGGGGGGATAAAACCAGGTCTGCCTCCACCCTTAAGCCGGGCTCGGCTGCGGGGAGGGCACGGCTTGATGGACCTCCGGGCACCTCTGGGTATGGGATGGGGGGGGGATATTAAATAATGATAATAATCGTTAGATGAAGGATAAAAAGCGGGCAATAAATCACCGTTGGCGTTTTATTGTCCGCCGTCCCCCGCCCTCCCTCCGCTCAACAACTGCATTTCCTGGGGCCTCCCACCAGCAGCGCCGAGGACCGGGGCCTCCAGGGAGATGGAGGGGGACACACTCAGGAGACCGTGGGGGGGGGGGGTTCATCCCAACATATTATAATACATGTATTATAATAGGGGGTCTCCTATAATCGTATTTAACGCAGAACCCAACCCCGTTAGGGATGGAGGGAAAGGACCCAGGTGGGTGAGCGGGGGGGGGGGGGGGGTATGAAAGGGATTCAAGCCAGGGAGGGGGGAATATGTGATTAGTGATGGGGGATGCGCTGATAATTAGATGAGAAATTGGGAAAAAGATTCAAGTGTTGTGAAGGGGGAACACGAGCAGAACCCAGGCACCTCAGGGTAATAGTTGGGGGGGGGCGGAGGTAAGGAACCCATGCACTGCAAATGGGACTGGGGGGGGCTACGACGGTGACAGGTGAAGAAAATACCGTAAGGTCGGAGCGGGAGCTGGTGGTAGTGGGGGAAATGAATCAGGCGAGAGATTAAGAATTGAACAAGGACTCGGCTGTCCGAAGGGGGGGGTGTCTCAGGACCCGGGGCTGAGGTGAAGGGGCGGGGATGGGGGGGGGGGGATAATGATGCAGATGGGGAAAAGGACACCGGCTCCCGAGGATGAGCACCGGGGTGCGCGATAAGGCACACACAGACAGGACCCGGGAGAGGGGTGGGGGTGTGGGGGGGGGATATCTGCGGGGCGGGTCAGGGCGGCGGCCGCCCGCTGCAGGCCCGAGGCCCATGGCGGGCGGCGGCTCCTCCTCACCGTGAGGCCGGTGCCCAGCACGATCACGTCGTACTCCTCATTCATGGCGGCGCTGGGGGGGGAAGAAGGGAGGTGCGGGGGGCAGCGTCCCTCGGGACTGTCTCCGCCGGCCGGGGCTGAGGCGAGCCGGGCGCTGGAGCGGGAGAAAATGGAGCCGCCGCCGTGAGGAGACCGCGCCGGGAGGGGGCGGAGCCGCGCCGCGCCCCCGCGCCTGCCAATCACCGCCCGCCGCAGCTCGCCATTGGCTGATCCGCGCCCGTCGCGAAGGGGCAGGCGCTGAGCCTTGACGAAGGCGCTGCCACCGTGGTGGGGGCGCGACGCGCATGCGCCGAGCTCGTGGCGCTCCCGTCTTTACCCCCCCCTCCCGCCTGGGTTGTGCAGCGCGGAGTAGTCAATGGGATGGGATGGGATGGGATGGGATGGGATGGGATGGGATGGGATGGGATGGGATGGGATGGGGATTGGATAGGGATTGGATAGGGATTGGATAAGGGTGGGATAGGGATGGGATGGGATTGGATGGGATAGGGATTGGATAAGGGTGGGATAGGGAAGGGGAAGGGAAAGGAAGTGAAGGGAAGGGAGAATAAGAAGCATTCCCCGAGCAATGCTGGGGAGTCCTCAATGGAATGGAATGCGAATGGAAAGGGAAAAGGAAGGGAAAGAAGGGGAAAAGGGGGGAGAAAAGGGAAAAGGGGAAAGAAAAGGGAGAAAGGGAAAGGAAAGGAAAGGAAAGGAAAGGAAAGGAAAGGAAAGGAAAGGAAAGGAAAGGAAAGGAAAGGAAAGGAAAGGAAAGGAAAGGAAAGGAAAGGAAAGGAAAGGAAAGGAAAGGAAAAGGAAAGGGTCGTGCTGCATGTGCAAAGGCCACGTGTGCGCAAGGGGTGCTCAATGACAGCCTGTGAGTGTGCAGTGGGTGGGTGTGTTGGTGCATGGGTGCAATGCGTGCTTGAGCAAGGGTCCTGCTGCATGCCCATTGGGGTGCCTGTGCATGCAATGGGTGAATGTGTGTTGGTGCAATGGGCACGTGCTTGTGGTGCCCTTTCCCCAGTGAGGTTCCATTGCACAAAGAATCTAGGCTGCCCCATCCCTGGCAGTGTTCAAGGTCAGGTTGGACACAGGGGCATGGAGCAAGCTGCTCTAGTGGAAGGGGTCCCTGCCCATGGCAGGGGTTGGGACTGGAGGAGCTTTAAGGTCCCTTCCAACCCAAACCAGTCTGGGATTCTATGGATACGCATCTGCACATGTGCAAAGGGCACATCCATGTGCTATGTGTGCAAAGGGAGTGTGTACACACATGAGGGGCACACACACACACACACACACAAGATTTCATGTATTTCTACTTCCCTCACATGGCTTCTGTCTCATTTCCACTTTTCACCCCAAAACAGGTTTCCCCTTATCCAGGATCCCTTTCCATGCAGCAAATCCCCACGTCTGCAGCAAAACCCAAAATGACACCAACCATTTTGAGAAGATTTGAGCTTTTTATTCCATTTAAGGTTGTTCTTTTAAATCCTCACCTCTACCCAGTCTCCACCACCCACCGCTTCCTGAAGCCAGGTAGGAATTTCCCAGCTGAGCTCTGGTTTTAGTGTCCTGTGGATCCACATGATGGGGATGGGGAGAGAGCTGGGACAGGAACACACACACAGCGGTTGTGGCAAAGACAGAAACGTGGATTAAACACCAGAGAGCTTAAGACATCTTAATTTGATCATATGGCTGCATCCCCTGTGTTTGGATGGAGCTGAGGAACAATTCCTTCCCCAGAGGGTGCTCAGGCATTGGAACAGGCTGCCCAGAGCAGGGCTGCAGTCACCATCACTGCAAGTGCTCACACACCATGGAGATGAGGCCTCAGTGCCATGGGTCAGTGGTGGCCTTGGCAGTGCTGGGAACGGTTGGGCTGGATGAGCTTAAAGGGCTTTTCCAACCTGGCTGATTCTGAGATTTTACCAGGACACACCGGGCTGGTGAAGAACTTGGTGAAGCTTCATCATGCAGCCAAAACCCCACAGTGGTGTTTTGGATGGGGAGCACAAGGTCTCCTTTCAAATGACTTCAGTATTTGGGAAGGCTGCTTATCACAGACTGGTTTGTGTTGGAAGGGACCTTAAAGCTCATCCAGTTCCAGCCCCTGCCACAGGCAGGGACCCCTTCCACTAGAGCAGCTTGCTCCAAGCCCCTGTGTCCAACCTGGCCTTGAACACTGCCAGGGATGGGGCAGCCACAGCTTCTCTGGGCACCCTGTGCCAGCCCCTCAGCACCCTCACAGGGAAGAGCTTCTGCCTTATCTCCAACCTGAACCTCCCCTGTTTCAGTTTGAACCCATCACCCCTTGTCCTATCACTCCAGTCCCTGATGAAGAGCCCGTCTCCAGCATCCTTCGGGCCCCCTTCAGACACTGGAAGCTGCTCTGAGGTCTCCACGCAGTTTCTCTTCTCCAGGCTCAACAGCCCCAGTGTTCTCAGCCTGTCTCCATACAGGAGCTGCTCCAGCCCCTGAGCATCCTCGTGGCCTCCTCTGGACTTGCTCCAACAGCTCCATGTCCTCATGTTGAGGGCACCAGAACTGCACAGAATGCTGCAAGTGCGGTCTCAGAGAGCAGAATGGAGGGGCAGGATCAGAGGGACCTCATCTCAGTCACATCCTACAAGACAGAAGCACAAAGTCTCCTCTGTGGCTGCAGGACCCCCATCAAGCACCGGTGTTGTGCTGGTGTCACAGCCCAGCACTGAAGCCATGTGCCGCCTGCTGGGCTCCTCTCCAAGCTGCCTTCAGCACCTTGTGGCAGCGAGCCCGGCTCCTGGGCTTGCTCCCCAGGGAACAGCCGCCTGCTCTGTCCCTCCATGGGAGGCGTGTGCTGGGAACACGACACGGATTCACACACACACACACTGCTGAGCTCTTCCCTGCAGCACGCTCGGTGGGCACAAAGCTCTCTGACCCCTTGTTTCTACCTTGCAGTGAGTAACCAAGAGCTGAAGCAGGCAGAAAGACACCAAGGGCTCTTCCCTGGGCTGATCCTGAATCCATTTGCCTTTTCTAATGTCCTTTTGTACCTGATCTTCTGCACTAACTACAGCCAGTTTGTTCCTGTTGCATCCTTTTACTGCCTGAGGGGCAGATCTAAATGAAGGGCAAATCATAGAATGGTTTGGGTTGGAAGGGAGCTTAAAGCTCCTCCAGTTCCAACCCCCTGCCACAGGCAGGGACCCCTTCCACTAGAGCAGCTTGCTCCAAGCCCGTGTCCAACCTGGCCTTGAGCACTGCCAGGGATGGGGCAGCCACAACACATAAAAGAGTGCTGGAGCTGTGCCATTACATCTCACTTTTGGATGCAAGCGCAGTGCCTGAGCTCCCCATCCCAGGTGGGCAGACCCTCTGCTATTGTACAGAAGCCTTTGGAAATCATAAAGCACCTTCAAAAGAATGCAAATTCCCTGTTTGCCATGACCAGGAGAGCTAGGGACAGGCACTGGGAAACATTGTCACTTGTTTTCTCCTAAAAGCTTACATTCACAAGCAATCTGAACTCATCAGCAGGGATACTGGGAGGAAACACCTCCTTCATGGTCTGCTAACATCATGGGAAGTGGGAATAAAGCAGCTCCTTGCATTTACTGGGTTTGCTGTGTGGAGGCCAGGGCCAGATTTATGGAAGGATTCGGGATCTTTAGAGCAATAAAGCCACCTCCTCACCTGCCCAGGAGCTGATGCAGCTCCCACCATCCCACACCATTAACACCTTCCAGCGTTAGTTCACTTTCCCTCTTTGGTGGTGAACACCTTTCATCAATGGAAAACCAAGATAGGGGAACACTGACAAAACCCAGGTCTTTGTAGGCACATCTGGAAGAGTCTTAAGATGCTTCCAAACCCCTCTTGTTCCCCTCTTACAGCCCCCCAGTTTATTCCAGTGAGCACACAGCCTCTTCTCATGCAATGCATGCCAGGAGAGGAGAGGAGGCCTTAACCCTGCTGCTAAAGCTGTTTAGCTCAAGAGGAGCACGGCACTGTTGTCGCTCTGGCTTAGGATCATCACAGCCAATTCTGCTCCAGGGACCACGGGGTGGGAATTCCCCATTCCAACACAGCTCAGCATCATCTTCCCACCACTGGGGAGCACATGGGTTGTGCATTAAACCTTAACGTGAGCCCCACGGCTTGGGCTCGTGTTATAGCCCAGGCCACTCAGTTATAGGCCTGATTTTTAGCATCTGCTATCATCAGACCTGCAGAATCCTGTTGGGTTTTATGTCTTGATATTACCTACAGACAGGGGCGTGCCATGGAATGACCTTATCATTCCAGATACCTACAAATAAAACCAAAGAGCAACAGGAGCTCTCACCTTCACGTGTATTCCAGGCCATTAGACATATTGGCCACATTAAATATTAACCCATTTCCTTATACATTTCAAAAAAACCCCAGATTATCTGTAAAGTTCATCAGTGATGACAAGTGCCAAGCAAAACCAGACTAACAAATCCCTCTTTTTTCCACTCTGATCCAAAGACCCATGATGTCACTGTAAGGTTGAGGTCTTACTATTGACTTCAGATGCCTCTGGGATCCACAAGATATAGGCTGATTAAGCTTGAAGGCTCCCTACACTTGTCCTCTGCAGCTCAAACCTGATGAAGAGTCACCAAGGGCTCATTGCACATGCTCAGCCTCACTCAGGGGCTATCATAAGAGGTGGCCACTCAAAGCAACTGAAGAGATTAGTGGTGAGCAGGTCTATAAAGGGCTATAAAACCAATGGTTAAGGTGCAACTTCTCCATCAGGATGTCCATTTTATGTCTACATCCCAGTAAACTCTAGCTTAGGAGACATCCCAGGAGATTCAAACCATGCAGGTACCCAGAAGTCATCTAACAGTAGCCCATAGAGCACATTCCCTGGTTATCCTGCATGGAGCTGGGGCCTTAGCTGTTTGGATGTGCTGGGTGCTGCACAAGAAGAGGTGAAGTTCAGTCCTGAAATGTGGAAGGGAAAGAAGGATAATGATTAAATTTACAATAGGGTCATCACAGGAGCATAATAGTCCAGACCCATCACATCCATTAACTTTTTGAGATAATCCTATTTAAAGCATGCTTCCATCCCTGGCAGTGTTCAAGGCCAGGTTGGACACAGGAGCTTGGAGCAAGCTGCTCTAGTGGAAGGGGTCCCTGCCCGTGGCAGGGGTTGGAACTGGAGGAGCTTTAAGGTCCCTTCAACCCAAACCAAGCTGGGATTCTGACTATCATTTTGAGATACTCCTATTTAAAACACATTTTCTCCCATACTTCCCAAGCGTCAAACTTTGTTTCTCTGCTCAATCCTTGGGCAAAAATCCTCTCATTTTAAACAGGTTTGCTTAAATGTGAACAGTTTTTAAGTGATAACTAACATACCACACTGAGATCAAACAGGCTTCTCTTTCCCATTACATCTCACGTGCCGACGTTTGCATCTTGGAAAACCTGGATGACATCCGGCTTCCTTGCGAGCTGCCGAGCCAGCATGCCTGTGCCATCCGGGGTGTCCTGCAGCCCAGCACGGAGCAGAACCCGTGCGGCATCTGCCTGCTGCCCAGCACAGGCTGCATGTAGAGCTGTGGGGGGACAAGAGGGTGTTGGTTGATGAGAAGCTCCCCATGACCCAGCTTCAGTGTGTGCTTGAGCCCAGAACCCCCCCCCGTGTGCTGGGCTGCACCCCCAGAGCGTGAGCAGCAGCTCAGGGAGGGGATCCTGCCCCTCTGCTGTGCTCTGGGGAGACCCCCCCTGCAGCCCTGATCCAGCTCTGGGGCAGCAGCACAAGAGGGACGTGGAGCTGTTGGAGCGAGTGCAGAGGAGGCCATGGAGATGCTGCGAGGGCTGGAGCAGCTCTGCTCTGGAGCCAGGCTGAGAGAGCTGGGCTGGGGCAGCCTGGAGAAGAGAAGGCTCCTGAAGGGGAGACCTTAGAGCAGCTCCAGTGCCTAAAGGGGCTGCAGGAAAGCTGGAGAGGGGCTTGGGACAAGGGCCTGTAGGGACAGGCCAAGGGGAATGGCTTGAACCTGCCCGAGGGGAGACTGAGATGAGCTCTTAGGCAGAAGCTCTTCCCTGTGAGGGTGCTGAGGCGCTGGCACAGGGTGCCCAGAGAAGCTGTGGCTGCCCCATCCCTGGCAGTGTTCAAGGCCAGGTTGGACACAGGGGCTTGGAGCAAGCTGCTCCAGTGGAAGGGGTCCCTGCCCGTGGCAGGGGTTGGAACTGGAGGAGCTTTGAGGTCCCTTCCAACCCAAACCATTCCACGATTTTGTGCCACCCCAGGAGCTGATACTGCCCTGTGGGTTTGGCCTCAGCCTGCTTCAGGTGCAAGCATCAGATTTTCATAGAAGGAAACAAAGCCAGCCAAGGGAACACACAGAGGGTGAAAGATGACTTTTCTCAGTTGCAACACCCAGCCAAGCACAGGGAATGGCACAGCAGGACTCAGCTTCTGCAGCCATGTATGCCTACAGCAGCAATGGGATGACTAAACCTGCACAATCAGGGGCCAGTCCCTTACATAGGTCCCTCTGCAGCATCCTTGTAGCCCCCTTCAGACACTGGAAGCTGCTCTGAGGTCTCCACACAGCTTCTCTTCTCCAGGCTCAACAGCCCCAATGTTCTCAGCCTGTCTCCATACGGGAGATGCTCTAGCTCCCTTACAGCAAAGGTGCTGGGCAGCTGACAGGCACAAGGAGCAGAGCTCAGCTTTACTCCCCGAGGCACTGGAGGGGGAGATGGTCACCAGTGAAGCGTGGCATGAAGCAAACCTGACAAATGGGGAAGTTGCCAATCACAGCAATAGCTGAAACCATTTATATATGGGGGAGGGTTTGTCAGAGGGAGACATGACACAAGAGATGCCTCAGACTCTCACGCTGGGAATGCCAACTCTCTAGCATTACTATAGCAACTATATTCACGTTCAAGCTCTCATTATTTGCTATCAGCCATTCCTAGGCAGTTTGCTGAGGAACTGAGGCTTCAGAGCTTCCGGAATCCTATTTGTCTGCCCATCCTAATGGTTTCAAAGTGGTTAATTTCAATGCAATTTCAAGGCCAGGCAGGAGTATCAAAGATATGAAGGTCCTGAGAGTTCCATGCAAAAGAAGCAGCTGGCTACAGAGAAATTAGCATCTGGGTTCTATCCCCCCTGGGAAAGGCCCAGAGCAGGCTCAGCCATGCAATTCAGCATCAGAAGTCCAGCAGGAAGAGAGCCAGTGAATGAAAGCTGCAAAGAAAACCCCCAGGCTTCACATGTCAGACTGCTCCAAGAGCCTTCTGCATCCATGCTTCTAGCATCTCCTCACAGACACAGTGTGGGCTGCTTTGAGGCTGGGCTTGGTATTAAAGCTCGCTCTTGCTGTCATTCAGAGGGTGAACAAATATCTCAGAGGAGCCTTACCTGTACGGCTCTTCCCATCCTTTGCATGGACATCAGCACCAAGGGACAGCAGTGTCTGGATGGTGTGTGCATGTCCTTCCTGCAGCAGCGAGCACAGACACAAGGAAGAGTCAGCAATGTGCAATTCCTAACTATACATGTAACAGAAGTAACACAGGCCTGAAGAGAAATAAGGCCACAAGGGAACTGGTCCTAACTGCATATGGCAGTGGGAAGGGCATAGACGCAAACCCCATCTGTCATGCTCAGATGTGCAGCTACTAGGAGCTGCTTCAGGCTCCAAAGGAAATCAGTGTCGTAGAGTCACAAACTGGTTTGTGTTGGAAGGGCCTTAAGGCTCATCCCATTCCAACCCAGGGACGCCTTCCACTAGAGCAGCTTGCTCCAAGCCCCTGTGTCCAACCTGGCCTTGAGCACTGCCAGGGATGGGGCAGCCACAGCTTCTCTGGGCACCCTGTGCCAGCGCCTCAGCACCCTCACAGGGAAGAGCTTCTGCCTTATCTCCAACCTGAACTTCCCCTGTTTCAGCTTGAACCCATCACCCCTTGTCCTATCTCTGCAGTCCCTGAAGAAGAGCCCCTCTCCAGCATCCTTGTAGATCCCTTCAGACACCGTAAGGCTGCCATGAGGTCACCAAGCAGCTTCTCTTCTTTTCCATCAGGGTAATACCCAGGGATGGTCCAGTTACAGCAGACACACTGGTGTTATCCCACGGGAGGTGGCCAGAGAGATGCCACCAGGCACCTTCTGCATCCCTTCCACTGGTAGCCTATGAGAGGAGTTGGAATTTGACCCTCAGTCAGTGTGCCTGCACACCTTGCATGGCCTGAAAGCAATTTCAACCCAGCAAGAGGCATCCCAGGAGTGTAAGTGAAACAGTGGAAGTTCAGGTTGGAGATAAGGCAGAAGCTCTTCCCTGTGAGGGTGCTGAGGCACTGGCACAGGGTGCCCAGAGAAGCTGTGGCTGCCCCATCCCTGGCAGTGCTCAAGGCCAGGTTGGACACAGGGGCTTGGAGCAAGCTGCTCCAGTGGAAGGGGTTGGAACTGGATGATCTGAAGGTCCTTTCCAACCCAAACTATTCTGGGATTTCATCATTTTCTCTCAAACATTTAACACAACGCTTCAAAATCAAAAGTGTTCAATTATGTCCAATAGTGCTTAAAATCACATCACAGTGCAGAGCTGTCTGTGGTGGTCATAGCTCCACCACCAAACACTGAGCAATGCTTTGACAGGGCACATGTGATAAGACACATAACACAGTCCAGATCCAGGCAGCTTCAGATCTGCTTTTAGACTTGTAGGTCATAGAATCATAGAATAGTGAGGGTTGGAAAGGACCTTAAGATCATCAAGTTCCAACCACCCTGCCATGGGCAGGGACACCTCGCACTAAACCATATCACCCAAGGCCTCGTCCAACCTGGCCTTGAACACTGCCAGGGATGGAGCATTCACAACCTCCCTGGGCAACCCATTCCAGTGCCTCACCACCCTAACAGGAAAGAATTTCCTCCTTATATCCAATCTAAACTTCCCCTGTTTCAGTTTTAACCCATTACCCCTTGTCCTATCACTACAGTCCCTAATGAAGAGTCCCTCCCCAGCATCCCTATAGGCCCCCTTCAGATACTGGAAGGCTGCTATGAGGTCTCCACGCAGCCTTCTCTTCTCCAGGCTGAACAGACCCAACTTTCTCAGCCTGTCTTCATACGGGAGGTGCTCCAGTCCCCTGAGCATCCTCGTGGCCTCCTCTGGATCGTGGTCCATAGATCCACCTTGCACAGCTGGAGGCATGAGGAATCGGGAGGATTGTCTCTCAGTGTGGCTCTGGAGGAGTTAATGCACAAAGGACCTCAGAGAACCGGGTGACAAAACCTAAAGATGTTTCTTAAGAGCAAGTAGGGCACTAATTTGTCTCCTGATCCTGCCTTTGCCTCTCCAGTCCTCGCTGCCAGTCAAGTAACTCAGTTAAACTGCTTTTAACTTCAGTTGGTCCCACAAGTGGAGGATCCCTGATTTCCCCTCCAGAACTGGCCACCAGCCTTTAAACGGACCAAATGTCAGCAAAAAGCCCTGTTTTCCTACACTGTAAACTCACTTCAAGTACCACAGGAACCTAGAAGAGCTCCTACAAAGGTGCATTTCAGCTCAGGGAGCAGAACTTGCTCACTACAAAAGAGACATTGAGGGGCTGGAGCAGGGACAGAGAAGGGCACGGAGCTGGTGCAGGGCCTGGAGCACAGGGGTGATGGGGAAGGGCTGAGGGACCTGGGGGGTTCAGTGTGGAGAAGAGAAGGCTCAGGAGGGACCTGATCGCTGCCTCCAACTGCCTGACAGGAGGATGGAGCCAGGAGGGGCTGGGCTCTGCTCCCAAGGAACAAGGGATGGGACAAGAGGAACCAGCCTCAAGCTGCACCAGGGCAGGTTTAGATGGAGCTGAGGAACAATTCCTGCCCCAGAGGGTGCTCAGGCATTGGAACAGGCTGCCCAGGGCAGGGCTGCAGGCACCGTCCCTGCAAGTGTTCACACAGCGTGGAGACGAGGCCTCAGTGCCATGGGTTAGTGGTGGCCTTGGCAGTGCTGGGGTAATGGTTGGACTGGACGAGCTTAAAGGGCTTTTCCAAACCAGTTGATTCTGTGATCCTATGATGCGATCTGCAGTGCATCCCACAGCAACCTCAGCACCAGCATCTCCTCAAGGATTACTCCGGTATTTGTAACTCCCTGTGAGCAGAAGCAGAACATCACACTCACTCACACACCATCACCACCCACAGCGTCCTCTGCCTTCCCTGTGCCAGCAGCCAATTTAAAACACAGCAGCAGGGGAAGATGCAGCACAGCCCCCACAGCCCTCCTCTCCGCTCCCTTCTCCATAAATAAACCCTCTCTCCCTGAATAACATGCCTGACTTTGTAATGATGGCTTCAATGCAATGAATTAGTCTTTGTTGTGTAGTATGAGAATGGAAGGCTCTTATTTTTAGCCCTAACACCCCCTCTTTCCCCCCTCCATCATCATCATACGACTCAGTAGCATCTTCCCCTCCCCTCCTCAAGGCTCCCATTTGCCTGCTGTATGTAGCAAAGACAGCGTGCTATGAGCTGCTTTAGCTGCCACAGCCTTGGCAGCAAACTGAGTTGAAAGCATGATTTGATTTTCATGTCTTTATAAATGCAAAGTAATAAGAAAAGAACTAAAAACCCCATCAACCCACCAGCCAAACAAATGATGCTGTAAATATAAAGTGACACTGAGCCTCGGGGAGGAAGAGAAACCCATCAAATCTCTCCCCAAGACAGAGCTGGGATCTTCTCCAAGGCACATTATACTCCCCAATAGCCTTGCTGTTGAACGCACCCTTGGCAACCAAAAGGGCTTTCAACATGGGTTTCTTAGAGCACGAGGAAGAGAAGCTGGGAGAAAGGCCTCTTTTGTGGGAGCCAGCAAATGGCCCGGCTGGGTCTTGCTGGAGGAGAATGCTGTTGCCAGCACTCCAAGTAAGTGTCATTGATGCTTTTGTGGGAGCGGGGTGCTGGGTTGTGCTGCTTCATTCCCACTGCAAGTCTAGACTGGGCTCTGAATGCTGCATGTTAGAGCTCACAGGGTTTAACACACAGGGATCTGAGCAGGGACCTCCCCTTGCTGCTGGCAGCCAGCATGATGCACACTGCTGTGACAGCACCAAGTATAAGGGAGGCATCAGGCTCCCAGGAGGGATCCTGGTTGGTGCTTTTGGGATGGGCTCTGCACTCACAGGGAGCATTGCAGGATCCACAGCACCTCAGGACCCATTTCCCACACAGATATGAGATGGGAGGAAGAGAAAGCTCAAACAACTCCCACTGCCTGGGATTCAAAACAGCTCGGAGTGAAGGACACAGATAAGCACCAGGAGCTCTCTCCACCTCCTCTCCTCTCCTTTCTCATGTCTGGCCATGGACAGGCCAGATTCCAACCTGTTGGGACAAACGACTGTTGTTTCACAGCACATCTTCTGTCCAGGAAGCTGCTGACATGGAGAGTGGCTGCTGACCCACTGGGACCCAAACCACCAGGGCTGAAGACAGACAAAGAAATCAGAGCAGCATTCCATCCACGTCTCTTTTGCCACATGAGTGAGGAAACACTGGTGAAGAGCTGCCACAGCTCATGAGGTGTTGGTACCAACAGCCCCCAAAAAACAGCAGGCTGGACTCTCTTCTGCATAACCAGCAGGTCAAAGGAGGTGATCTTGCCCCTCTACTCTGCTCCCGTGAGACCCCACTTGCAGCACTGTGTGCAGTTCTGGTGTCCTCAACATAAAAAGGACATGGAACTGTTGGAACAAGTCCAGAGGAGGCCACGAGGATGATCGGGGCTGAAGCACCTCCCGTACAGAGACAGGCTGAGAACACTGGGGCTGTTGAGCCTGGAGAAGAGAAACTGCATGGAGACCTCAGAGCAGCTTCCAGTGTCTGAAGGGAGCTACAAGGATGCTGGAGAGGGGCTCTTCATCAGGGACTGGAGTGATAGGACAAGGGGTGGTGGGTTCAAACTGAAATGGGAGATTTAGGTTACATATAAGGCAGAAGCTCTTCCCTGTGAGGGTGCTGAGGCGCTGGCACAGGGTGCCCAGAGAAGCTGTGGCTGCCCCATCCCTGGCAGTGTTCAAGGCCAGGTTGGACACAGGGGCTTGGAGCAAGCTTCTCTAGTGGAAGGGGTCCCTGCCCATGGCAGGGGTTGGAACTGGAGGAGCTTTAAGCTCCCTTCCCTACACTATGCACTTTGGTCCAAAGGCAGTGGACTGGAAGAGTAACACTCATCAGTGTGGGTCAAGCCCTATCCAAGGCACAGCCAACTGGATGAGTGGTGAGTTGAGTCCCATCAGCACCCACCTCCACTCCTGCACAGTCATGTGCAAGGCAGGAGGGTTCATTAACCCTCAGCACAGTGGTGTGGGCTGGAGGGTGGTGAACAGAGCAACTGATACCATCCCTGTGCAGAGCTGGACACACTTCATGAGAGTCTAAAACCCATTAAATAGGGTATGGGGCTGGTCAGGAGCAGACAGTGACAGAGGATGAGCTGAAGTGTACATCCTCCATCAGAGGTGAACACTAAAGCCAGCCTGGTTTAGACGCCTGCTTGTAGCACAACAAACTGGCAGAGATGCTGTAGAGGGACAAACCTTGGCTGCATAGTGCAGTGCTGTGAGCTGCAGGGCTGTTGCTCTCTCATTGACATCAACGCCCAGCTCAGAGACAACAAACTGGATGGCTTCATCCTGTGCTGTAACTGCTGCCCGGTGCAGAGCTTGAGCACCTAGTGCATCCGTGGCTGTAGGACAGGCCTGGAATAGGGGAAGAGGGAAAGGGAAAGCAATGAACAGCTTGGCCAAACCTTCAAGGATAATCACAGCTGGAGCAGAACCCTGTCTGCTTGCCACAGCCATGGTGATGAACACACGGGGTGTCCCCAGCAGGACCACTGCTGTTGGTGGCACAACAGTTTGCAGACCAGAGCAGGCTGCAAAACTAGTACCAAAAAAGAGCAAAGCAAATTCTCTCCTCTGCTGGAGCACATACAATGGGGTTTAACTCTTCAAACCAGCGAGAAACAGCCCATCTCCAACTGCTGTGCTGGTGGAGAAGCAGCTGAAAACGGATAGAGACAGGGATATGGGTGGATGACCTTATGAGATCTCTTTTGTGAGTCTCTGGCCATCAACCACAATGACACTAAATCAAGAAGGGTAACAGAAGTAATACACATTGAGTACACTCATCTTAAAGGGTATAATCCAGCCTCTTGAAGTCTAGTGGGCCTGATTCATGGCTTTATAATCCTAAAAGGTAGCAACACTGCCATTAGTGTTTCCAGCGCTGCTTCATGGCACTAAGCCAGGGCATCACAAGGAGGAAATCAACTGTTCCATCTTCACTGCCTGAAACGTGGGACTATGAATGTAACCACCCTTCACAAGCGTTTCGTGCTGTAAGGGCCAGATGAGCAAAGATAAGCACAGGAACATCTGAAGCCAGCAAGCATCTACGCACTCAAACACAACATGGGCATCAAAGCATCTCTGTATTACAGCTGAGTAAATCCAAAGCTTGTGCTTTTGAGAAGTGTGGAACCTCCTTCCCTCGCCTGCTCCATGCCACGCTGGGGGCTCAGGTGGCCAATTCCACCTCCCAGTGTGGCACAAACAGATTGAGTCCATGATTCTATGACTGGTTTTGCCAGTGACGTGCACTGGTTCACGATGGTACCCAACAAACACCAGAGCTGGTGCAGGGGAGAGGCAAAGCAGACAACGAGGCACAACCCCACCTCTGTGGCAGGCTCCAGCCAGCTCACAGCAATCCAGCTGGCAATAAGGTGGCAGTGGTCAGGTTCTTGCTGTGTCCAACTGGCTCTGCTGACATCCCTTTATGCCTTGTGTACTGGAGGAAACCAGGGATTACTGGGAGATAACATGGGAACAGCAGCTGCCATGAGAGATGGAGGCAGAGCCGGACACCTCGGTGTTATCCACCCTCAGCATCACCACCAGGGCCACCACACTGAGCCCTGGCACTCCCCAGTGCTGGTGTTGGCTTTGCCACAGCAAATCCTGTCCCCTCCTGCCACTGCCTTGTGTCTCCATCCCCATTCACCAGCTATAGGGACGTACCTCTGCCACAGGGCAAGATCTGCACTACAAGTCCTGGTGCTCGTCTCCAGGGGGAATTCCCCTCCTTTTGCAATTCACTTCTTACACATTGGGAATCTGCTCCATGGGAACACATGGATTACCTGTCCTGGCAGCTCTGGGTCAGGTCCTGGAGGAGGAAACCGAGGTTTCTGGCACCTACCTGGTGTTTTTCCAGGAGCAGCCGGGCAACGCTGACGTGCCCATTCTGGACAGCATCCATAAAGGGAGTGACTCCACATTTATCCCTGCTGTCAGGTTTGTAGTGGCACCTGGGAGGGAAGGAAAAAGCCAGGACAAAGTTGTTGCTGGCTCCAAAATCCATCCTGCATGAGTTGCTTTGCATTGGTGGGGTGGGAGACTATTGGTGGATGGGTTTGGAAATGGCATATACCATGGATAAACCTACCTCAGTGCTTTATGGCCTGGAAGTGGGGTTTTCTGGGGTCAGAGATCTGCTATTCAGCTAATGCAGCTTGCTACAGGAAAGCCAAGGCTCTACAGATGATTTCCCTTGCCTCCCAAAACCAGGATGTGTTTGGGGTAAGAGGCAGCGGACAAAGCCATATCCTCATGTAACACCACCCCATACAAAATCAAAGCCCAGAGATCTCACTCAGGTTAAAGCTCCACTGAAATAAGGCTGAATTAAAATGCAAATCCTGGCTCAGATCACAGGAATATGTTTATGCTGGGGCAAGCCTGGCCAGCAATTAAGGCTGGGATGAGCTGGTTAAGAGGAGCCATGGTTGTGATGCCCAGGGAAAGCTGCTCCAGCTCTGGCAGTGCTGGTTTGGAAGGTCTCAGGGTCAGGATGAGATTTAAAGCTGATTTAAGCCATTTCACAGCAGTATCCTGGGAGCTACAGCCTGAGAAGAAAGCCTGGGGGCTAAGCCCAGCCTGGAGGGGTTTCAGTGTGAAGAAGAGAAGGCTCAGGGGGGACCTGATGGCTGCCTCCAACTGCCTGACAGGAGGATGGAGCCAGGAGGGGCTGGGCTCTGCTCCCAAGGAACAAGGGATGGGACAAGAGGAACCGGCCTCAAGCTGCACCAGGGCAGGTTTAGATGGAGCTGAGGAACAATTCCTGCCCCAGAGGGTGCTCAGGCATTGGAACAGGCTGCCCAGGGCAGGGCTGCAGGCACCGTCCCTGCAAGTGTTCACACAGCGTGGAGACAAGGCCTCAGTGCCATGGGGCAGTGGTGGCCTTGGCACTGCTGGGGTAATGGTTGGGCTGGATGAGCCTAAAGGGCTTTTCCAACCCAGTTGATTCTGTGATTCTATGGCTCTGGAGCAGCTGCCCCCAGAACTGAGCTGTTTTGTTGTTCTGGTGTGGCCTCGGACACACTGGGAATGAATCAGCACAGAAAAGGAGCCGTTACACAACCGGGGTTTATGTCATAGCCAAGTCAGAGCCTATCCAGAGAGCATCCGTGTCTCAGAGGGCTCTAACCAGCTGTGAAAATCCCAGAGGAAATGGACACAGCCTCGGGATCGCATGCAGGGCAGCTGTGCAGCCAGGCTTCCCGAATGCAATGAATGCCTTTTTGTGTCCTGGTGGCTGGAGTGAGCCTGGCAGGGGATGGGAGGTGGGGAAGAGCTGGGAGGATTCCTGCTTACCGCGTCAGGAGCAGCTCCACAACATCGGAACAGCCGTGCATCGCTATGAGAGAGAAAAACGCCACTGATTTACGCTTTCAGGCCACACAGTGAAACACAATCACCTTTCTGACCCTTTTGGCTTACTGACAATGAGGGAATGGCTTCCAAGAGGCTTTAAATTCAAAGCTTTGGGTTTTTTCAACATATCTCGAGCCTTTCCTTTCCCTGATCCTATAGGAAAACACCACATAAACCACAGAAAAGGCACCATTTGCCTCTACCTGCTGAGTACAAGCAATTAAGCTGACACAAAGATCTCTTCTTGCAAGTATTGGGTAATCCCTGGAGTGAAAGCTGAGAGGATGAACACAGAGCAAGGAGCTGGTGAAGAGCTGGATGGTATTTCCAGCCCCTTCTCAGCCACTACTCATCACTCCCATCTCATCATCCTAATGAAGCATCCTCACCCAGACAGCAGCATCTCTGAGGAAAAACAACAACAGTGGGGGAGGATTTGAGCATCAAGCCCTGATAATAAAACCAAACCACACTGACATTGTATTACAGTGATGCAGTAATACACATTGCATTATTACAATGTCAGGACAACTTTGATCTGCCTTTTTGGCTTCCCCCCCCCCGGCCCCTTCAGGTCATTTTGCAAACCAAATGAAACACATTAAAGGCAAAAGCCCAGCAAACCAAGCCCAGAGCTGCTACAACACGCTATTAACTGTGTGTGAGGGAAGAACAGCCCCTGGCACATGTGTGTTACCAGCAATAACCTTCAGACACAGCTGCACAATAGCTGCTCTCTGAAAACCCAAGGAAGGGCTCCCATCCTCCCAGATCTTGGCCATTTGCTCTCTTTGCCTCAGGCTACGGATACAAGGAGCAGCAAGGCTTAAGGAATCAACATGAAAAAGAATTGCACAGGGGAGAAAATTAAGCAGGGATAACTGTGCCAGGAAGCCAGCTGGCCTGGTCACGGGTTAATGTGCTCATATCCACACCCTTGGGATGTCAACTCATTGAGACAGCACTTGGTCTTGACATGATTTCCCCCAGCATCATCTCCAGCTCCTCGCCCATATCCCTGCCTCAGGAGCTGTATCCATGTAACTGGGCTTTATGGTGGGGTGTGTAGAGGTGCTGGCACCAGCACCCACCCAGCAGCAGCCTCTAGCATCATCCTGGGTTACAACCATGCTGGGAACAAAGGTGGTTTAAGCAGCTCCAGGCTTTCCCACTGCCCAGTTGCTCCCCCACCAGCAGCTGCTCCCCCACCTTGTGGTCCAGGTCTAATCTGGATCAGTGAAATAACCAGGAATGAATCCAAATCATGGCATAAGGGCTTGGCCACAGTGGAAATCAAACACAGGAGAGGACACAGATAGGAAAACACCTCTATGAAGCAGTGAGAAGTGGGTGCTGGATCCCACCATCACTGTACCCCCATATCCCAAGCGCTATGAGGCAGGGAGGAGATCAAGCTCAAGGTCAGAAGCACCCCTCTTCCTCAGGACAGGGCTCATCCTGCTCCTGAGCCTGTCCCCACACCCTCAACCCCCAGATTATGTGGGGAGAAGGTTGAGAAGGGGCTGTGAGCCCAGTTTACCAGCCCAGACATGGAAGCACAAGAACTGGGATTGAGCAGGGGCAGAAGAACACGCAGATACACAAGGATTAGCATCCCATTCACACAACCTGCTCCTTGCCACCCAGCCTGAAAACATCAAGCAACTCATCATCATTCCCAGGTCAAACACAAGGACTAAGGCACAGGCAATGCTCCTGGGCTGGGGCTGTCACAGCTGATGAGCACAGGGCAGCTACTGAGGGTTGGAGAAGGAATCAGAGCAACATCAAGGAGCAACATACCCAACAGATTCATTACAGCACAGCAGGGGTCTCCTCACAACACCTCGGGTCTTTCCAGAGAGTCAATCCCTATTAAATCCTTTAGGAAATGAGTTTTGGTAGCTGTAGGTTTGAGCAGTGCCTCCTCACACTCAACCTGCAGAGACAGTGCCAAGCCCCGGGGGATGCTCCTGATCCCTACACGTTTCACATTCAGGTCAACCTCCTCCTCCATGCACCCCCCAGCCCTGAGCCTACCCCACAGTGTTACCTTGACTTGGTGTCACACACCTCTCCCATCAGTCTCCAACCTCACTGCAGCTCCTGAGGGCAGAGCTAAAGGGATTTAAGCTCTGGGAACATCCATGCTTTACCTGCACTGCCTAACTGAGATGAGTTTGGGGGAAACCAGACCCAATACTCTCTAAAGCAGGACCAACTTAATTCTGCATTGGGCCATTCAACTTATTAAGACTCAGAGAACTTAACTGAGGCCCATATTGTGCATCATCCATGAATTACAGATGGATTCATTAACATGAATCACTCCATCTCAAAGATAAAAGAGTCAGAAAGCCAGAAACCAAATGCAACCATTCAGCCAACTGTGCCCTTCTGCTCCCCACCATGCCTAATGTCATTTGAGGTTCTTCAAACCAGTTCACTCCCTTGATGTGTCCTTTAAAACCAATGAAAAGGGCAGACAAGGGGAACTGGACAACCCTAACAACAGCTCCCAAGTATTCCCAGCAGGGACAAGCCTTTCCCTTTGCAGAAAGGCAACCTGGATTTCTCACTAGATAAAACCTCCTTATGTGAGAATACCATGACCTGGGATGATGAGAAAATGAACATGAGCCGGCTTCAGTGTGCGCTTGCAGCCCAGAAAGCAACCGTATCCTGGGCTGCATCAAAAGGAGTGTGACCAGCAGGTCAAAGGAGGTGATCCTGCCCCTTTATTCTGCTCTCGTGAGACCTCACTTGGAGTATTGTGTGCAGTTCTGGTGTCCTCAACATAAAAAGGACATGGATCTGTTGGAACAAGCCCAGAGGAGGTCACGAGAATGATCAGCGGCTGGAGCACCTCCCATATGAAGACAGGCTGAGAAAGTTGGGGCTGTTCAGCCTGGAGAAGAGAAGGCTGCGTGGAGACCTCATAGCAGCCTTCCTTCCCCCAGGCTCCTAAGGGGGCCTATAGGGATGCTGGGGATGGACTCTTCATTAGGGACTGTAGTGATAGGACAAGGGGTAATGGGTTAAAACTGAAACAGGGGAAGTTTAGATTGGATATAAGGAAGAAATTCTTTCCTGTTAGGGTGGTGAGGCACTGGAATGGGTTGCCCAAGGAGGTTGTGAATGCTCCATCCCTGGCAGTGTTCAAGGCCAGGTTGGACACAGCCTTGGGTGACACGGTTTACTGTGAGGTGTCCCTGCCCATGGCAGGGGGGGTGGAACTGGATGATCTTAGGGTCCTTTCCAACCCTAACTATTCTATGATTTGATAATGACCTAATCCAGCAAGTACTCAGAGGAAAAAAAGATCATTTTGAGAGGTATTTCTCTTACAAAACCTTGCAACAAGATAAAGCAGGCTGTCACAACTGGCCCTCAACAGGCAGATCCCAAAAGGTGCCTCTCAACAGCTCTGCTGCTTTCAGGACAGTTAAAAAGCCAGGATATGCTTGGAGCCTTGTAGATGTTCTGAGCCACAGGAGCTTGGGCATATCTGCCCCAGGGAACCAGAGATGAAGACCAAGACCCTGCTCCAAGGAGACCAAAGTCAGTGGGACACCACGAGTGCTCCTGGGATGGATCCACTGCTCCCAGGAGAACAGAACTGTTACCACAAAAACATGGTCTGAAACCCACTGAAATGGGAACTGAGGATCCCCCAACCTCACAAGCTCAGTCTTTGGTGCACCATTAAGAACCATGAAAGCTAATTCTTGCTGTTTATGTGAAAGCAACTGAAATGAGTGGTTGCCCTGAGGTGAAACCCTGCAAAGAGAGAGCAGAGCACTGACCTTCAGAAAGGCAAGTTTCCCACTAACTCCCGCCATTACCCTCTTTCATTTAATTGCAATAACTTCATATTTCACTGTTTCCCTGTGGTTTTGGCCACACTTGGCTTTTCCAAATTAAACATAAAGCAAAAAAAACAGCCCTTTTTGGTTCTCCACTGCCCCTCCTCTTCTCATCTAACCTATCTGATGGCAATGGGATACTCTTACCTGCTGTGTGCAGAGGTGTTCTTTTTATCGTGCTCTCCGTGTCCCAGCTGCACGGGGACACATCCAGCAGGTACCTGAGCACCTGGGGATGGCCCTCCCGGCTCGCAATGTGGAAGCAATTCCAGCCATCCTTATTCTTCAGCAGTGGGTTGGCTCCGTGCTCCACGAGAGCTTTGATCACCTCCAGGTTCTTCCTGGTACAAGCCATCATGAGGGGAGTCCTGATAGAAAAAGGAGGCAAGGAGAATAACCTGAGAGATGGTGCCCTAAGAACCTGAAGGCTTTTGATCCTCTACTGAGAGGCAGTAGGAAACTTTGCTGGCTGAAGGAACAAGAGAAGGCTCCTGAAGGGGAGACCTTAGAGCAGCTCCAGTGCCTAAAGGGGCTGCAGGAAAGCTGGAGAGGGGCTTGGGACAAGGGCCTGTAGGGACAGGCCAAGGGGAATGGCTTGAACCTGCAGGAGGGGAGACTGAGCTGAGCTCTTAGGCAGAAGCTCTTCCCTGTGAGGGTGCTGAGGCGCTGGCACAGGGTGCCCAGAGAAGCTGTGGCTGCCCCATCCCTGGCAGTGTTCAAGGCCAGGTTGGACACAGGGGCTTGGAGCAAGCTGCTCCAGTGGAAGGGGTCCCTGCCTGTGGCAGGGGTTGGAGCTGGAGGAGCTTTAAGCTCCCTTCCAACCCAAACCATTCAATGATGCTGAATGACTCCTCCTGCACCCAAACCCGTTCCAAGGATCCCTCCACCTCACAGCCAAGCAGTTTCCTACCAGTCTGCCTTCTTCAAGCAGTCCACACTGGCTCCTCTCTCCAGGAGGAAGGACACGCATTCCTCATGGCCCATGGAGGCTGCTTCATGGAGGGGTCTTTTGTAGTCACCGTTGACCACCTCGATATCCATGCCCAGGTCCTCCACAAGGAAGGTGAGGACATCCCGGTGCCCATAGCGGGCAGCGTGGTGCAGGAGTGTGTCCCCCAGGCGCCCATAGCGCCAGGGCTGCAATTCCAGGTCCATGGCATTGTCCGGATGCAGCTCATCCCGGAGGAGATCCAGGCGTCCCTCCTGCACCAGCCGGAGGAGCCGCTTCGGCTTCTCCCCTTCAGCCACGGCTGGAGATCTGGGGGGAAAGAGGGAAAGATCAGGATGATGGTTTCAATCTGATGGCTGCTGCCTGGGGTGGGATGGACTGAGATGGCCTTTTCCCATAGGAGAAACAGAACCCAGCCTCTAGCTCCAGAAACAACGGGAATGTGTTTTTTCCATCAGTAAATCCACAAACTGGCTTCTCCCTCAGGATAAGCTGAAGTTCCCTTGGGAACAGCAAAAAGTGGCCCATCCTTTAGGAGAAATGGAAACTCCTTTATCCCTTAGCAAAACACATTTAATTTTCCCTCAGGAAAACCAGGAAGAGGTTTGTACCTCTGGAAAACCAGGGATTTCATTTTCAGTCTGCCAGCTTATAAACTGGCCTTTCCCTTAGGAAAAAGAGAATCTATTTCTCCTTAGGAAAACCAGAAATGTCTTTTTCCCTTAGGAAAAACTAAAACTGGCTGCTCCCTTGGGAAAAACTGAAACTCCCCTTTCCCCTCAGGAACAACAGAAAATGCCTTTCCTGTGGGGAAAACAGAAACCAACTTCTCCTGGAAAACCTGAAGTTTCCAAGGGGAAAAAGAAGTTATTTTCCCATAGGAAAACAAGGAAGGGGCTCTCTCTCAGGAAACCCAGACATTTCCATCAGGAAAAAGAGAAACCCAGCTCCCCCTCCAGGAAACGCGACATTCCCTTTTCTTCAGGAAAACCAGAGACCCGCCTCTTCCTATAGGGAAAACACAAACTTACTTTTCCCTTGGGAAAACAAGAAATTAGCTGTCTCCGCAGGGAAATGTGACTTTCTCTTTTCCATCTGGAAAGCACTTGGTCTCTCCCTTAGGAAAATCGGGAATTTCCATTTCCCCCCAGGAAAACTAAAATACTCCTTTTCCCCTCTGGAAAATCACCTGCGCCGTCAGCAAACCCAGAAATGCACCGTTCCTTCAGGAACACCTGAATTTTCCCGTTTCCTCCGGAAAACCACTCATTTCCCTCGGGAAAGCCAGAAGCCCCCTTACCCTTCAGAAAAACTGAAATTCCCTTTTTCCCTCCCGAAAACCGGGAATTTTCCTTCTTCCGAGGGAAAACCCGCAATTCCCGTTTCCCTCAGCAAATCCAGGATCCGGCCTTTCCCTCCGGCACTGTGACGTCACACCGAGAATACCAGGAAGGGGAGGGAAGAGGCCCCACCGCGTTGTTCACTTCCCGAACTCGGAAGTACCGCCCCACTGGATCTCGGCGCGGTTTCTGATTGGTTAACAAGGCTAAAAGGGGCGGGGCCTGCGGCATCGCGCGGTAGCGGCGGGCCAGGCGCGTTCTCTTATTGGTGGATAGGGCGAAAGTGGGCGGGGTTGGCCGAATCGCGCGGGAAGTGTGGGAGCGGTGGCGGGTATGGGGGGCTAAGGCGGGGCTAAGGCGGAATGGGGTTCCCCTGATAATGGGGGGGCTCTGTAGTTGTGGGGGGGCCTTGGCAGTGTAAGAGGATCGGTAATGGGAAGGGTTTGGTGGTGTTGGGGCAATTCGGCACTGGGGGGAATTTGGCATGGGGAGCGGGCCTTGATAACGGGAGGAGTTGGTAATGGGGGGGGGGTCTCCTCGGCTTTGGGGAGACTTTATTATGGGGATCCTTGGTATTGCGGTGGGTTCATAATGGGGGGGCTTGGTAATGGGGGTCTTTAGCAATGAGGGGGCCCTTGGCATGGGGGGCAGGGCTTGATAATAGGGGGAGGCTCCTTAATACTGGAGGGTTTGCAATAAGGGGAAACCATTGGTATTGAGGCTGATGCTCTCACTTTGCAGCTGGAATATCCTCCTGTGGCTGACCGGCTCTGCTCCCCATCGTGTTCCTCAGTGATGGAAACCATGAATGGTGATGGGGCTTCACAACCCAGTTGTTCAGGCCATGTGTCATCTGTCACCAATGGAAAAACTGGAGAAAAGGAGAAAAACATGAGTGCAGGTGAAGCGTGAGTGGGTCATGGGATCCCAGACTGGTTTGGGTTGAAGGGACTTTAGCACTCACCCATTCCAACCCCTGCCACGGGCAGGGACCCCTTCCACTAGAGCAGCTTGCTCCAAGCCCCTGTGTCCAACCTGGCCTTGAGCACTGCCAGGGATGGGGCAGCCACAGCTTCTCTGGGCACCCTGTGCCAGCGCCTCAGCACCCTCACAGGGAAGAGCTTCTGCCTAAGAGCTCAGCTCAGTCTCCCCTCGGGCAGGTTCAAGCCATTCCCCTTGGCCTGTCCCTACAGGCCCTTGTCCCAAGCCCCTCTCCAGCTTTCCTGCAGCCCCTTTAGGCACTGGAGCTGCTCTAAGGTCTCCCCTTCAGGAGCCTTCTCTTCTCCAGGCTGCCCCAGCCCAGCTCTCTCAGCCTGGCTCCAGAGCAGAGCTGCTGCAGCCCTCGCAGCATCTCCATGGCCTCCTCTGCACTCGCTCCAACAGCTCCACGTCCCTCTTGTGCTGCTGCCCCAGAGCTGGATCAGGACTGCAGGGGGGGTGCTCACTGCTGCTCACGCTCTGGGTGTGCAGGCCATGGGTTATCTTGTGTTGGGTTTGTGCACTTGAACCCTCTGCCATGACCATGGCATGGGGGGTTTGCTGTCCTGGGGTCAAGGGAGCAATGGTTTTGCCCTCAGTTCTGATCTTGTGCAAGACTTCTGTGTCTGACAGCTCCAGGACTGGACTGAACCAGCACCTCAGCTCTGGCATCTGCAGTCTCTGTGAGCTTCAGAGAACTGGGGCCCTTCAATGCTTTGCACTGCTTAATCCAAAAGAAGGTTTTCATTTTGGGTGAGAAAAACCATTTTGAAGTAGAATCATAGAATCAAAGAATCTTTTAGGTTGGAAGACCTTGAAACTCGTTGAGGCTAACCATTAACCCATGTCCCTGAGTGTCACAGGACCGTCTTGCATTGCTTTTTATCTTCTCCTTGCCTCATTTGCTGTTTCAAGGCTCATTTGCTGTGTTCTGAGGAGCATGAAGTCAAAAACCAGCCTTACTGCTGTGCTGACGTGGCTGAACGGGAGGCAGCTGTGTCATGAACTGACCCTTGGATCCTGGTGGATGGGATCAGTCCATCACTTGTGGCTGCCATGGACACGTTAGAGGACTTTATCCTCTGCACCACGGCGCAGTAGGAAAGTAGAAGTGAACCTGCATGAGGAGTGCTCTGCTGGCAGCTCTGTTGGGAGGGAGCCCATCCCGTGCCATCGTTTTGGGTTGCCCATGAGCATTTCTGGTAGCAGTGAGTTGCATTTTGTGTTCCTTTCCTGCTGGCTGCCCTGTGTGTGGAAGAGAGGAGCTCGTGCACGTTTCAAGTAAGGTTTTCTTAACTCTTCACACAGATTTGTGCTGCTTCTTACCCACCCTGTGCTGTGAAGGGGTTGTGATTCCTCCTTATCAGAGGATCCCAGCTGGATGTGTTTGTGAGAGGCTCAAGTTTGTGTATTTGAATGTTGGCTCTGAGCTTCCTTGGGTGAATCACTGTTGAGTGGTGGCACAGTTCAGCCTTCATAGTCTGCCCCAGCATCCTGCTAATGATGCTTTGCTGTTACACAACTGCTGTTGGTGTTATATGGTATTATAGAGAGAGCCACAAAGCTTACAAGGGTTCTGGTTTTATGTTGTCCCCTTTTGTTCTGAAGCCTCATACAACGCAGGAGAGGGGACCTGGGGTGAAGTTGCTGTTGCAGTGACTGCAGATGTGTCGCCCTGATGTGATGCATTGCTCTCCTTAGCTCCTCAGCAGAGCATTGTATGAGCTTCTGTTGTGACTGTATCCTGGGCTGCAGCAAAAGAAGTGCGAGGAGCACCTCAAAGGAGGGGATCCTGCCCCTCTGCTCTGCTCTCATGAGACCCCTCTTGCAGCACTGTGCAGTTCTGGTGTCCCCAACATGAGGACATGGAGCTGTTGGAGCAAGTCCAGAGGAGGCCACAAGGACGATCAGAGGCTGCAGCACTTCCCGTATGGAGACAGGCTGAGAACATTGGGGGTGTTCAGCCTGGAGAAGAGAAGCTGCGTGGAGACCTCAGAGCAGCTTCCAGTGTCTGAAGGGGGCTACAAGGATGCTGGAGAGGGGCTCTTCATCAGGGACTGGAGTGATAGGACAAGGGGTGATGGGTTCAAACTGAAACAGGGGAAGTTCAGGTTGGATATAAGGCAGAAGCTCTTCCCTGTGAGGGTGCTGAGGCGCTGGCACAGGGTGCCCAGAGAAGCTGTGGCTGCCCCATCCCTGGCAGTGTTCAAGGTCAGGTTGGACACAGGGGCTTGGAGCAAGCTGCTCTAGTGGAAGGTGTCCCTGTCTGTGGCACTGGTTGGAACTGGGTGAGCTTTAAGGTCCTTTCCAACCCAAACCAGTCTGTGACTTATTTGGAGAAACTTCTGTCTGCACCTCCAAAAGGAGACTGTTTTTATGCCTCTGTCAGAGCCATGGGGTTTATTCTGTTCTTTGCTGACACTTCGGGGTCTGTGTTTTGTTGCATGTTGGCAAAGCAGAGAAGAGGTTCAAGAAAACCCACCTGACAGCCCAGGAGTGCGAAGCTCTTGCTGAATGTTCACTTTCCCTGACGCAGCCATTGAGCCAAAGCCAAAGCAGGGGAGATGTAAACAGGGGCCTCCATCCCAGCCACCGGACACGGAGACATCAAGGAGGTACTGGTTTTGAGTGGTTTGAAGGGCTGAGGGCTCTGGGAGAGAGCAGTGTGCAGCAGAAGGGCGCTGTGTAATCCATCCCTCAGCTTGTGCTGGTTGGAATCATGGAGTCCCAGCTTGAAGGGACCTCAGGGATCAGCTGGTCCAACCTTTCTTAGCAAAGCACGACCTAGACAGGATGTCCCAGCACCCTGTCCAGCCCAATCTTAGCAGTTTCCATGCTGGGGAATCCACCACTTCCTTAGGGGTGTTATTCCAATGGCTGATGGTTGTCATGGTGGAAAATTCTCCTTTTGTGTCCAGTTGGAATTTCCCTAGGAATAACTTGTGCCATCGCCCCTCGTTGTTTCTATGTGACTTCTTGTACAAAGGGAGTCTCCATCATCTTTGTATCACCCTTTAAGTACTGGATGGTGGGGATAAGGAGGGGATAAGAGCCTTCTTCTCTCCAGGCTGAACAGCCCCAGCTCTCTCAGCCTTTCCTCACATGCTTCCCAGTCCTTGGATCTTTGTGGCCCAGCTCCAGCCTGTCCACATCTCTTTTGTAGAGCAGGGACCAAAACTGAGACAGTGGGGACCAAAACTGAAGGGGAATAGTGCCAAGGGAGTGAGTGCAAATAGAAGACGTTGGTTGGCTTTGAGTGTTGTGTGGCAAACCGGGGTTAATCTCTGCCTCTGCAAAACCAGGTAGCTAGAGAAGGAGATTCCATGACTGCTTCCCTCTATGGGGGTCAAGTTTGTCTTTGCATGTGTTTAGTCTCTCCTCACACCAGAAATGCCACCATGTCTCTGGTGTTGAGCTGTTGGAGACTACCTATGAAGAACAGCAGCTCTCCCTGAGGAACACTCCTGTTAGAAACTATTAATGATGTGACTCCTGCTTCTGGATATTCTTTAGGATCGTTATGAGTTGATTATGGGATGCTGAAGTGTTGCTGATATTAATGATCTGCAGCTTTGCTGGGCATGGGAAACATTGGGATACCCAACTTGGAGATGCTACACACATGTGTGGCTGAGGAGACAGGTAGAAAGCAAAGAAGAACTATATCCTGACTCATTCCTCAGTGCCTTGGTCACTGTGGAGATGAGACTTAGGAGCATTGTGGTGTTTCCCTGGGATGCTTGGGAATCTCTCTGTACCTTGGTGTAAGGTGACTCGCTTCACAGATTGAAGTGAGGCCGGATGAGACATCAGAGTCCTGGACTCTGTGTTCAGACTTCTCCATTTCATACCAGTGATAGCTTTGACTGTCTCACTTTAAAATACCTCATTATTTTGGATGCTGCAGGATTTAGGCTATTGGACATGAGTATTCCCTGTTCATTTTATGCAGTCTTTCAAATCAGACCTCTTTC